AAAAAAAAAGTCCAGAAATTCTTTAACACCCCTCCCTTCAAAAAGCAGTGCCTTAAAGAAAAAAAAAAAAAGTGGTGCCTAATTCTCCTCGCTGTCCTTGAAAGTGGATCCAGATTGAGTGAGTCACTTCTAATGAATAGAAGGTGGTGGGCGGGATGCCAAGTGACTTCAGAGGTCAGGTCATAAGAAAGACAGCATCGGCCGGCCGAGTGGCTCAGTTAGTTAAGAGCATGAGCTCTGAGCAACAGGGTCGCTGGTTCGATTCCCACAGTGAGCTGCGCCCGAGCTGAGCTGCCGCTGAGCTGCCAACAGGTGGCAGGATGGCTCAGCTGGTGAGAGAACATGCTCCTAACAACAAGGTTTCTGGTTCAATTCCCTCATGGGACAGTGGGCTACGCCCACCCACAACTAAGATTGAACACGGCACCTTGAGCTGAGCAGCCGAGAGCTGCCAACGGGCGACCAGATGGCGACTGGACTTGGAGCTGAGTTAGCTGTGCCCTCCACAACTAAGATTGAAGGTCAACAACTTGGCTGTTCCCCTTCCCCAATTCCCCAATAAAAAAATCTTTCAAAAAAAAAAGATAGCATCTGCCTGGCTCACTCCCTTTTGCATCACTTGCTCTGGGGGAAGCCAGCTGCCATGTTGTGAGGACACTGTGAAAGTAGCCCTGTGAAAAGGCCCACATGGAGAGGAAGCAACTTGTCAGGTGTGTGTGAGTGAGCACCTTGGAAGTGGGTCCTTTGGATGATTTCAGCCCTCCCAGCCAAGTTTTGCAGCTGAGACCCCAGGCATCATAGAACCATCCGCACTGGGCGCTGTCTGAATTTCTGGCCCACAGGAATTGTGAGATAATAAATGATTTGTTGTTTTAAGCCATTAAGGTTGGGACTAATTTGTTACAGAACAGAGATAACTAATAAAAGAGCCTCTCTTATCTCGTTCACTATTCCATCCTCAGCACCTAGAAACTGTGCCTGGCCCATAGCTTAATTAGTGTTTGCCAAGTGAGAAACAGCTTGGACTAGGACCAAGAAGCTTGGTTAAGCATCTTTAAAGGAAGGAACAGAAAGCAAAAGAAAGGAAGAAAGGGAAGGAATTCAGTTAACTCTGACAGCCTTGATTTCCTTCCCAGACCTTCTTTCAAATTCTCCCAGGGGAAAGTGGATCGACCCCAACCCCAGGACAAAGGCAAGCCAGACTCACGGATTTGCACCATGCAGCTGACTCCCGACTCGGGCCCCAGTATGTGTTTCCCAACACATTTGAACTTCTTGCCATCTGACAGCTGGGACTGGTTCAGCATCTCCACTCCCAGCTTTGGCGTCCCCAGGATCACACCTCCTGGCTCTTCTGTCCATTGGAAGTTAGGGTCTGGGTATCCCCCATCCCAGCGACAGATGAGCTGCAGCATGATCGATGTTGGTGACACCTCTGCCCAGCACTGAAGGGCTGATGAAGGGGGGGCTGCAAAACACCAGAGGAGAATGGGGGCTTAATCACAGACTAAGATCAGCCATTGGGCTGGCTCTATGGACCACAGAACCAGGGCTTCAGAGAAACGTCAACTCCACGTAGCGTGCCTTGAAATAGCTCCTAGCACAAATTAATGTCTGTCAATGTCGGGTTTCCTCTGCTGGGTGTTAACTCTCCCAGTACATGGGCTTCATTTATCTTGGCATCGCTCGCTAACTGCATGTGACTACTGAAGTTTAAACTAATAAAATAACAAATTTAGTTCTTCCATCACACTACCCACATTTCACGTGCTCGGTAACCACACATGGTGGGTGGCTACCGTATTAGACTACACGGAAGAGAGCATTTCCATCATCGCAGAAACTTCTGCTGGACAGTTTTGGTTCCTAGGGGGAGGGAGTTACAGGTGGGACTCACTCAACCCCAACATATACTTTCTTTTTACTGTGCACATGTATTACTAAAAATGCACAAAAATTTAACAAGTTACAAGCCTATACATACAATATAATCCATGAGCTAATAACTAGATACTGGGGGGGGGGTGCCACTAGATGCCAAAAAAGTGTACACAAGTGGACACTTTGGTCAACGTTGCTCAAGCAGTAGTTCACCGTCATCAGAAGTGTCTGGACGCTGATGGGAACCACTTTGAGCACCTCTTGTCATTGCAGAAGTGACTTGTATTCATCTTTTATTATTGGTATATACTGAGTATTGCAATTTCAATGCAGTTTTCCTTTCTTAAAATGTGTATACATTTTTTTGGCAACCTCGGTATATAAATTCACATATATGTATATTATATTTTTATATATTTTCTATAATACCCATAAACAGAAATAAATTTGTATCTTATATTGATTGGCAGATATGTGGCATCTACAAGGAAAGTTATTGAAAAATATATCAAAATGGTGGTTCATGTACAAGTGATTGTTTCCTTTATACTCACCCGTTTCCCACCATAAGCATGTATGACTTCATATACAATAAATGTCATTTACGATAGAGCACAGAGACGTCTAAAGGCGCTGAATAATGCATGGATTAGTAACATGTCATTATTCTGCCCACTAACTTGTTGTTCTGATACTCCCTTTCCTCAGCATGGAGTATGAGTACATTCTGCGTGTCTACAGTTGTCTTCGTCCACGATATTTGTGTGCAGGTGCATTCGGCTGTTGTTTCCTCCCCGCCAAAGTAAAGATCCCACAAACTCCTGGTTCCTAACAGTGCTCGAGGGCCCAGGGCTCATGAAGAGAGTGTACAAAAATACATGAAGGCATCAACCAATTGTGCAATATTATTTAGCCCTACAAAGGAATGACGTACTGACCCCTGCTACCACAGGGATCAACCATGCACATCTGATGATGCTCAGTGAAAGAAGCCAGACACCAAAGGCCACATATTGTGTGACTCCATTTATACGAAATACCCAAGGATAGGCCAATGCATAGAGATAAGACGCGGAGTGGAGGTTGCCAGGGGCTGGGGAGAAAGTGGGGGTGGGAGCGATTGCTTAACGGATAGGAGATTTCCATTTGAGGTGATGAAAATGTTTTGGAACTATATAGAGGTGTTGGTTGCACAACACTGTCAATGCACGAAATGCCAATGCGTTGTACATTGTATTACAGTTGTTATGTACTTTCACCTCAATTTAAAAAAAAGAAAAAGGAAAGAAAACATTACACTAGGCATTAATTTCCCTCCGTGACTCTCCTGCACCCTTACTTTGCACCAACCTTCTAGAAGGGGTGACTCCCTCCCTGACATGCAGCCCTGGGTGTGTGCATGAGTGTTGAGGAAGCTGCAGCGCATGTGGGGGCCCACGCAGCAGCACACCTTTGTAGACAAAACTGGCACAAACACGCAGTTCCCAAAGGGTCAAGGTGAGGAAGGGGGGGGAGGAGCGGAGAGTGCTTCTTACGCACAGTAGACCAGGAGCTCGGAGGTCACCTTTCGAAGTCTCCCACTGAGCCTGTTCGTGGCCAGACAGGTGTAGTTCCCTTGGAGGTTTTGTGACATCAGTAGCAGGGTGAAGCTGCTGACCGTCAGGTTGTTTCCAAAAGGCTCAGTCCTGGAGTCCGGGGCCTGGAACCACCACTCGACCATGGGTGGCGGCCAGGAGCTGCTGCTGCAGGTGAAGTCCACCTGGGAGCCCTTGGCCACATAGAGGCTGCCATTGGGGAGTATGCCGGTGGTGGAGATGTTGACTTCGACCTGATAGGGGCCGCCTGGGAACGACAGAGGGAAAAGTCTGAGGGTTCATTTGCGCCCCTTCCCAGTTCTACCAATCACATAAAGAATCAGGAAGCAGCCAGTAAGGATGCCAATATCTATGGAATATTTACTACTATATGACAAATGCTATGCTAAATGCCCTCACACATACGCTCATTAAACCCTAAGTGATTATGTGTCATTGATCAGGGGGATCAATACTTATAGAAAAGGGAAAAATGGAAATGGCTCCTTTTCAAACACACTGGTGAATGGGGAGGGTATCTGTGAATTACAGGGTTAACCTAGCAGGCCTGAGTTTGCTTTCCTTAGAAAGTCCCCCTTGGGCTGGCCGAGTGCCTCAGTTGGTTAAGAGCGCGAGCTCTGAGCAACAGGGTCACCGGTTCGATTCTCACATGGGCCAATGAGCTGTGCCCAAGCTGAGCTGACGCTGAGCTGCCAACAGGTGGCTGGGTAGCTCAGTGGTTAGAGCGTGCGCTCTTAGTAACAAGGTTTCCGGTTCAACTCCCGCATGGGATGATGGGCTACACCAACCTGCAACTAAGATTGAACACGGCACCTTGAGCTGAGTGACCACAAGCTGCCACGACGGGCGGTCGAATGGCGACTGGACTTGGAGCTGAGCTAGCTGCGCCCTCCACAACTAAGACTGAAAGACAACAACTTGGCTGTTCCCCTTCCCCAATTCCCCAACACTGTTCCCCTTCCCCAATTCCCCAATAAAATCTTTAAAAAAGAAAGTCCTCCTTGTCTGGTGACTGGGAACTTGGATTACAGGAAGGTCCCACAATCCCCAGAACAAGTAAGGGCAGGGCTCACTGTGCCTAAACTGTGTGCAGACAGCATGGTTCAGGCTGAACACCTGCTTTCCTTCCGAGAGCCTAGAATTTTGGTATGTGCTAGGCAGAGAGGATGCCTACGTGACCAGCCCCCCAATAAAAACCCAGGGTGTTGAGTCTCTAATGACTCCTGGAAGACAACATGTCACACATGTCGCCACAACTTGTGGCTAAAGGAAGTATGCGTGTCCACATGACTCCACTGGGAACAGACTCTGGGAAACTCGCTCCTCGTTTCCCCCTGAGTTAACCCCACATGCCTTTGCTCTATTCTGATTTTGCTTTATGTGCTTCTGCTGTACTAAATCGTATTACATGTTGAGTCCTGTGAGTTCTAGAGAGAACTCTCACAGAACCCCCAGCACAATTTCACAATGAAAGACAAGACACATTGGTTTCACTCCCAGCTCTGGACTCCACTTCCTAGCTGTGTGACTTTGGGCAAGTTACTTAACCTCTCTTAGCCTCCATTGCCTCATCTCTGAAATGAGGGTGATGCTGGAACACACTTCACGGGGCTGTGGTGATGGTTAAATGAGTTAGGATAGTATAGCACACAGAACAATGCACGTTGAAAGCACTTGATAAACGCTTGGTCTTATCTTGGTTCCCTCACCTCTCTGAACGTCTTTCTGGTTCCCCAGAAATGCCCTCCCACTGTTGGTACCCAGGAAACCCAAGGTGCTGCGCCCCCTTTGCTGAAAAGACTATCTCTAACACCTATGTATACTAAAGTCGTTTCGTGTGCTACCTCTCGCAGGGACCCTTCTTAAGGAGAATCCAGGAAGCACAATGCTTGCTCAAAGGAATAGATCTGACTGTGGAATTTTGAACAGAAATAGGCCAGTAGGAAAAACTACTGGGGGCAAAGAAAAGGCTTTTTCCAGAGCCCCTGAAAGTACAGCATCTACCTCACCTATGTCTGAAACCATTGGATAACTCTAGAAATTGTGGGTTTCTGAGGACAACATTCTTGACCATATGCTTGTCGAGTTGGGGCTGGCTCCTAATCGTCGCGGCCATCTGTTGGAATCGTGTCACCTCCCACAGAGGGTCTGGGGAAAAAAACGATACTGTGGCTGAGGAGGTGCTCAACTGTCCCATTCACTGTGCTGGCGAGTCGGTTAGGTATGTGACCCAGCAGGTCCGAGGGTGTGCCCACAGCTGGCGGGCACCCAATTAAACACAGGGTGCCTCTGCTGGTACTGGCAACCAGCTCCTAGGCCAGCAAAGGTAATGGTTAGATTGGATGGCCTGAGTCTTCCACGTTGTGGTCTGGAGGGCCACAGTGGCCTTGCATGGGCAGTGGACCCCAGCAACTGGCTGGGAAGAGCTTTTGACCAGCACAGTTTTCAGCAAGAAATGGGGTTGAATACAGGAACTAGATGAGAAGAAAGCAGGTAGAAGGGTTAAAAAAAAAAAATCAAATGAGAGAACCTGAAGGGCCTCCCTCCTAAATTAAGTGTTCAAAGGTTACAGCTCATATATAAACCCGCTGGGTTGAGTCTGCTTCTTAATTAAAGCTGACACCATCTTGATTCCCTGGCGTTCTTCCCCTACTCTGACTTATTCCACCTAAGGAGGTACCCATTTATTTCTCTCCCAACCTCCTCTCTACTCTCTTGATAGTCCTCAACAGAAACTACCACCCTTTTTGCTTGCAGGGTGATGGTAACAGTTGCTCACAGAGACAGGGAAGGAAACAAAAATAGAACAGCAAATAAAAAGGCAGAGTGGTTACAAAAGGTTCGGCATCTTATCGAGGCCTTGGTTATTGTCAGTTCCACTCCTTAACTCTTTAGCGCCTTCACTGCCTTAGCCTCGTGGTTATGAGCTTGTGCTCTGAATTCAGACAGGCCTGGGTGTAAATCCTACTGCTGCTGAGAGATGGACAACCTTGGGCAAGCACCTGCCTGTCTCATGCTCACTTTCTTTTCCCTCCTTTGAAATGAAAAGAACGGTAATAGCTTCTATCACTGGGTTAGTGAAGGATCTAACGAGGTACTATAAGCAGAACACTTAGTCTGGTCATTTGACATGTGGCCAACAGTCCATAAATGTTATCTGATATTACAATCAGTGGTATATTCTAGATGGATTCTGGAACTGGCATCGGCAAACTGTTTTTGGATGGCCCACAAACTAAGAATGGTTTTTCAGATGAACATCCTCAATCAATTTGATGAGACAGAACACTAACTTTGAACCCCAATGAAGTGAAATGGTACCCCCCAAAAAAGAATTCTATCTTCTCATTCATTAGTAGGCCTGTACTACAAAAAAAAAAAAAGGACTCAATTATTATTACAATTTGAATTTTGTCAATAAGAAATATGTGGAAACTGGTTTTCTTTCTTATTATGCAAGTACTTATATAATACCCTCAAGTTTACCCACTGGTCCATAAAGTTAAAATAGAGAGTGCCCAAAAAATGAATACACATTTTAAGAAAGGAAAAAACTGTATTAAAATTGTAATTCTCGATATATACTGATAACAAAAGATGAATAAAAGTCACATTTGACTTCTGCAATGACAAGAGGTGCTCAAAGTGGTTACCATCTGCATAATTTTAATACAGTTTTTTCCTTTCTTAAAATGTGTATACATTTTTTGGGCACCCTCTGTATTTACCATCTGGCTCTCTACAGAAAAAAAATCTGCTACCTGTTGTAGAAGCACCTACCACTGCTACTGCCTTCTTCTCTGCTGTCATTCTTGACATAGGAACTCACTTCTTTCCTTCCCCCATAGCCACAGGTTGGCCAGTCGAGTCTCAAAGGGTTAATTTACATCTCAGGGACTCACAAAAAGGGAGCTCTTCATTTCAGTGTCTTGGGTTCCTCCCCAATCGGAAAAGTTAGACATTTACTCTTACCAGCATTTTTATTTTAAAATGACCTAAGACTATCCCGGGTAGTCTCTGCTATCCACTGGGCATATTTATAGTTCTACAGTAGGATAAGATCCTTGAGAAAACTTATAGAGAGACTTGTTTTGATATCACTTTTAGAGGCTGAACATAGCTGCAAAGGCAACAACCCCATTGCCTTCCGATCTCCCTTGTGACAGCCGGTCCTGCCTAAAAGGTTGGGACCCAGAGGTCTTCAGCCTGTTGTAAGCACTCATCTCTGCTTCAGAGGAGCTCGGCAAGATTCGAATGAATCAATCTCTGGGCAAGGATGACCCATCTTCTGATGGGGGCCAACACTCTTTCTTCAGAGTTCCCAGCAGTCCTTTTCCCGAGGCCCTTAATGCTGTGATGAGTCAATGTCACCACCGCCAACTAGAGAATCAGTGTAAATCGCATCGGCCCAATTAGTCCGGGGATCACAGGACTTTCCTGAGGTTCCCTGGAAGTCTGGAGTGGCAGTCACATCACTGGCTAGACAGGAGCACCCCCATCCTTCAAACCCCAGCTGAACTTGAAGGGGCTCTTGGAGGTTGATAGTGACTAGCCTCCTCACTGACCATGTGCCAGCTGGCCCCAGTGCTCCCGCAATACTCGCTTGGCCTGAGAAAAATAGACCCAGGGAGTCTGGCATCATGGTACCATGAAATCTGACTGTGGTCTTTCATGAGCTAATCTCTAGAGAGATCACTCGGCTCCCCAGTGTGTAAGAGATAGTATCTTGAAAGAAGTACAAAGTCTACCAGAATGTGTTAAGGTCCCTGCTACCTTCCCCAGCCCTCCAGCCTTTCTGTAGGTAAACACACAGCTGTTCTAACATTATACGCGCCCCAATTGGGAGGCAGGAGAGGATGGTTAAGTCCATGAAATACACAGCCACAGCAGCCCTGAACTGGTCTGGACTGAGGGGTTTCTGAGCAGCAGTCCCAATCCTGATGGCGAGACTCTTCAACCACAGCATTAAATTCACAAGTATCATGGGCCGGCCAAGTGGTGCATTGGCTAAGAGTTGGCTTGGGACACCAGCTCTGAGCAGCAGGACCCTGGTTCTGATCCCACATTAGGGCCAGTAACATGGCACCCTCTACAGCTAAGATGGTGAACAACAGCTTGACCTGGAGCTGGGCTGCCGTGAGTCGCTGGTGACAGTGTAGGCTGCAGCCCCTGCTGCAGTTGGCTCCGGTAAGCTACCGTAAGTGGCCAGCAGTGGGCGTGAGTGGCCGGCAGCCAGCGTGAGCTGACAAGAGCTGCCATGAGCAGCCGTCCGGTGGCCGGTGACCAATCTGCCTCACCCGGGAAGAGCGCAATGATAATACCAACATGGGTCAGTGAAGCAACATCCTCCACAACTAGACTGAAGTACAAAAGGACAGCAACTTGTTTGTTCCCCTTCCCTAATTCCCCAACGCTGTTCCCTTTCCTGATTCCCCAATAATCTATCTTTAAAAAAAAATAAAAATTCACAAGTATCAGTGCAGGGTCTTTTTGTCCTGAGACGAATAACAAGATCATGTTGCGGTACTCATTCCAAGCAGGTGATCAATCACCTCAGGCCTATAGAATACATGACTCCCTAGAAGGGAGAGGCACCAAATGTCCACTGATCAATAAGCAGAGATCCAAGTGGGAAGGAGGGAGAAGTGACCGGTCCTCATACAGCCAGCTTTGTGTTTTTACAGCATCTCTGTCCATGCGCACATTTAAAGTCACTTACAGATAACGACTTGTCACATCTTACAATATAGTTTCCTCGCTTCCAAGGCCATGTTAGAATGTTTCCAAACTTCCCTCTCAAAGAGACTAAGTTATCAACCACATCGGAGAAAAGACAGGAAAAGCAAGATCTGGGTACACAGAGTCCCTGACCCACTGCAAGTCCTATTTCAAAAGCCCAGATGTGAACTGATTGCTGGGAACTTGAGATATATTTTTCCTACAGGAATCACGTCCTGCTTAACTATTTGATCAAAGTAAAAATGCAGACTATGTGGCTAGCTCTGTGCTGAGGGCCAAATAGATTTATCTCATGAGTACGTGCAGAAAATACGTGCCTAGGTTCCATCATTAGCCCTGGTTCCACAGATGATAAAATTAAGGTTGAAAGAGTTCAAGTGACCCAAACTGACTGAGACAGGCTGTGTCCTATTTTCCCAAACAAGCCCTACCCCACCCAGTCAGGGACCCCCTATGCTTCCAAATGAAGACGTTTCCATAACATGAATCATACCACAGTAACTCAGGGAACCCAAAGTGCCATTTGAGTTTAGTGACATTTTTGGAAATGTAAGTTCATTTTCATCATAAAAAGGCCTTGCATTTATCTTCCATATAGGGCAATAATCCATCCCCTAATAAATTTAGCCAATGATTCATAAAATCAGTGTCAGGTAAAGTCATCATAAACTAGAGAGAGTAATGATTTAAAACACAACAAAACAACTTTCAATGCCACCTTACTCTCTTGTGGTCAAAAGAGGAGATATTTATTAATAGGCAAGACTGACATGAAGGAATTATTAATGACTGCTTGGCAGTTGGGAGTGAGGAAGGCTTGCCAGCACTTGCCCATAGGCTCCCAGTGGGAGCTAAACAAGGCTGGGCCAAGATAAGTGACACTTTTTGATATACCCACATTCATTCCTGGCCACTCGGCCATTCATCTAGGGCACCTCCAGACACAAAAACACTGCTCACAAATTCCTCAAGCCTGGAGAGCTGGTGGAAACCTTAAGAGACCATCCAAAAATCTAGGCACGTCCTTGATGCCTCTCTTTCCTTCATCCTCTACTTCCAATCAACAAGCAAGTCTTTCTGGTCTAACCTCCAAAAATATTTTCTGAATGTGTGCACTTTCACCAAGGCCACTGCTGCCACCCTGTTGCTGGCTACCAGCATCTTGTACCTCTGATTGGCTTCCTTGTTTTTATTGTGTTATCAGTCCTCCTCAAGAACACACACATACATTTCCCATGTATAATTCAAATACGACCACCCCTATGCTTACTTAAAAGCTCCAGAAATCTCTCCTGCACCCAGGATAAAATACGAATTCCTTACCGGGTGCATTCATTTCCTGGGCTGCCTTAACAAAGCACCCCAACCTAGATGGCTTACAACAACAGAAATTGATTCTCTCACACTTCTAGAGGCCAAACGTCCAAAATCAAGGTGTCAGGAGGGCTATACTCCCTCCGAAGACTCTAAAAGAGGGTCCTTTCTTGCCTCGTCCCTAGCTTCTTGGCATTCCTTTGCTTGAAGCTGTATCACTCCAATCTCTGCTTCTCATTAGATGACATTCTCCCTGCGTCTCTGCCTTCGCATGCACTTTCCTCTTCTTCTAAGGATACCGGTCAATTTTAATTAGGGCCCACTCTAATGGCCTCATCTCAACTTGATTACATCTACAAAGACCCTATTTCCACATAAGCTTACATTCATACATACCAGGGGTTAGGACTTCACCATTATCTGTCTGGGGGGGGCATAATTCAACCACATCGCCAGTTCTACCCAGCTGCACATGGTCTGGCCCTGCCCATATCTCGCACAGCATGCCCTCTCACACACTGGGTTCCCACCATTCTAGCCTTCTTCCCATCTGAGCATGCACCGTGCTCAGCCCATTGCACTAGTTGAATTTCTGCCTGGGTCACATTCTTTCTTATCTTTGTATGACTGACTCCTCCTTATCATTCAGCTTAAACGTCAATCCCTCCAGAAATGCCTCTTCGACCTCCCAATGTAAAAAGTGTTTCAGGAAAATCACATCATTGCATCTCAGTTCTCTGCATAGCAGTTGTCACTCTGATACTGCCTGATGCATTTGTTTATTTGCTTCTTATCTGTCTTTAAGCAGGGATATCAGCTCCATGGGGATGGGGACCTTGTCTTGTCTTGTCCACTCCTGTGGCTCAGTGCCTAGAATCATGCCTGGCATCAGGCTCTCAATAAATATATGTTGAATAAAGGAATGGGTGAATTCTTTATTTTATAGATGAGGAAACTAAGGAGCAGCAAAGAGATCACATGGGTAGTTCTACTAAACAACACACCCTGGATAGAGGACATGGCTGTCCCTCTGCACCAGTGACTAGCACACTTTGTGTAAAGGGACAGAGAATAAATATTTTAGCCTTTGCAGGCCATACAATCTGTGTCACAGCCACTCACCGCTGCCATGGTAGCACCAAAGGCGATCAGAGGTAATATGTAAATGGACAAGTGTGGCTGTGTTGCAATGAAGCCTTATTTATGGACATTGAAATCTGAATTTCCGAGAATTTTCCTATGTCACAAATATTAGTCTTCTTTTGATTTTTTTTAAACAATTTAAAAATGTTAACAAAATATGTTTGTGGCTTGCAGGTCATACAAAAATAGGCAGCAGACTGGATACGGTCCACAAGCTGCGGTGTGCCAACAACATGCTCTAAATTCGTGTATATGGAAAGATATACTAGACTTTCAGGAAAGCACAGTTGTAATAGTAGTTCGTGCCAAGCCCTATACTCAGCACTATGGCAGAAGAGCACATACCTGGTAAGGTATCAATGTATTATCCCCACTCAATACATCAGAAAAACTGAAGCTCAGAGATATTAAGCAACTTACTCAAGATGATACAGAACTAAGTGACAGCCTTAGAACTGAAGCTTAGGCAGTCTGACTCGATGAAGTGATATTCTGACTTCATTGCATAATAAAATTATATGCACAGCCAAATGATATTAACAACAAGCTAAAAGCTAACTATTAGGCCAGGAGCCATGTATGGCACTTTAACATAGATAAATTAATATAGATATTCCTCACAGTCATTCTAGGAGGCAAGAATTTTTTTATCCCCATTTTACTGATGAGGAAATACAGGTGCAAGAGGTCACTCAGCTTGTAGGTGGCAGAGCCCCGAACGAAACCCAGACCACTGACACCAAAGCATCCCCCTGGTCCAAGGCTCTGAGCGCCTCAGCAGCCAGCCCCAGGCCCCTCCCACCCCACTTACTGGCCACCTGCAGCCACACTTGGAACCACCGAGTCTCATTCAGAACCTCCCGGCAGGTGTAGTTCCCCTCATCCTCCAGGCTCAGCGCCTCGATGTGCAGGGAGCTGGCATTCGCCAGGGAGAAGTGCGGCTTGGCTGGCAGGAGGCTGGAATTGGAGGACGGGATGAGGACAGGCTCCAAGTCATTCCGGTACCAGGTCACTAGGCCCCTCTGTCCCGAGACGTTGCCACAGGGCAGGGTAATGTTCCCGTGCACTTCTCCAATAATGACAGCCTCCAACCCTGTACAAGGAAAAGTCAGGCTGTTACTACCTTTCTTGATCTCTGAACAGCCTCCCTTTTGCACAGTCCCTCCAAATTAGGATTAAAAAAAAAAATCAGGCATGTGTTGTTAAGACGCGCTACCACACAGAGTACCCACCCTGTCAGGACTACGGGCCAGTACTTGATATTAATCACAGACAAACCCACAATACGATAGCTGCCAGTTCACACCCACTGGAATGGCTAAAATCAAAGACAATAACATGTATTAGCAAAGATGTGGAGAAAGTGGAACCCTTATACATGGTTGGTAGGATTTGCAAACGGTGCCGCTACTTTGGAAAACAGTCTAGCATTTCCTCACAAGGTTAAATGTTACCATATGACACAGTAATTCCACCCCCAGATGCACCCAAGAGAAATGAAAACACATAGTTACACAAAAACTTGTACATGCATATGCACAGCAGCATTGTTCATAATAGCCAAAAGGCAGAAACAACCCGAATGCCCATCAACTGATTGGATGGATAAATAAAATGTGGTATGTCCGTACAACAGGAATATTATTTGGCCACAAAAAGGAATGAACTACATGCTATAACACGGATGAATCTCGAAAGCAATATGCTAAGTGAAAGAAGGCAGTTATAAAAGGTCACATAGTATGTGATTCCATTTATCTGAATGTCCAATGCAGACACGTCTATGGAGACAGAAAGTAATTAGCAGTTGTCTAGGTCTGGGGGGAGTGGAGTAGGGGGGAGCGTGTGCTAATGAGTATAGGGCTTCTGTTTTGGGTGATGAAAGTGTTCTGGAATTAGTGTTGATGGTTGCGCGATCTTATGACTATACTAAAAACTACCGAATTGTACACTTTGACAGGGTGAATTTTATGGTATGTGAATTACATCTCAACAGAGTTATTAAAAAAAAGAAAATCCTGCCACCTGTCTCTGGGAATCGTTCCCATTTATGAAATAAAGAGTAAGCGCTCTCTGTATTTGGCCCTTTGTCTGGTTCGAAGGGGCTTCATCTGAAAGCTCTGACGCCAGCCTGGAGTCACAGGATGCTCCTCTTGTCTCCCCATTTTGGCCACACCATACCCCAAAGTCAGGACAAGATGGGGGAAAAAAAGAAAAATCCAAGCTGCTTGCTGGAAGGCACAGAGTGTCATCTAATGCTAGAGATTCCAAAACAGCAAGAAATGCTTTTGAACAATCACGTTAAAAGACAGTTGAGAATTATTTTTCAACAATTAGGTCTGGGAACCCAAGTTCTCCGTGGCAATCCCCACTGAGGAGAGAAGGTGGATTGTAGAATTACAAATGCATCGCGTGTTCCTGAGGCCTGCAGACCTGCCCCTTCCCTGGCTCCCTGGCAAAGCAATAAATGAACTTGGAAAAGCCCTGGTGAAACTTTAGTCTTGGAACTTGAGCTACCATGGCCTTCGCCGCCGTGGAATAGGATGACATAATCACAGATGAAACCATTTTAAGGCACTTCACTTCTCGGACCTGGCTTTGCTCACACCATTCTTTTAAACTAATAAAACTGAAGGTGACCTTAGAGATCATTTAGATGTGGCAGCCCCGAGGTCTGGGTTAAAGATGAGGCAGACTGAGTCCTGGCTCAGTGCAGAAGAATACAGTCATTGATTAGTGATGTCCGTGACACGGACACAAAAAGAACAGTCCCCGAGGATACGCTGGTTCCATGCCTGGTTGCCCTACAACCCCTTGTTTTACAGTTGAGGAAATTTAGGTTCAGAAAGCTTAAGTAATTTATATGAGGTCTCCTGGAAGTCACTGGGCGAGCTGGGATGACCATTCATGATTTCAATACTCTAGGTTAGAGATTTACTCTGGTCTCCCAACCAGACGGTGAAACAATAAAATATGGTAATAATAGTCTGTGTTACTAGAAGCCATCCACGTGGTGTCCAGAGGGTCCCCCGATGTCCCCCAACCTAAATTCAGAATATGGAACAAATGAGGGAGCAACATAAATGACCATTTTCTGATGCTATGCTCATATTATCATTTACAGAGTTGCGATTATACCCAAACATTTGGTTTTTTTCCTCGCAACTTTTCCCAAAGAATGACCCAGGGTTTACAATCGGAGGTGACAGTGGAGGCATGAACATTGTCTGGAATTAAGTGCCAGGAAAAAGACAGGTTTTTTGGTTGTTTTTGTTTTTTTTTACAAGACAACTCCCAACTTGAAAAACAAAACAAAAATACATCAAGCTAGGGAAGTCCCCTGGCAGAGTACACAAAGGTGAACTTGGCCTGGACATTAAAATAAGTGGGCATGTCAGTGGAGAAAGTGTTTGTGTGGCGAGCTGCAGTCAACCTAAAAGCTGGCTCATTCAAGTACAATGATTTCAACCCAGGGTCTGATGTCCCCAGGCCCCTGGTGTCCACGGCGCAGTCCACATTGCAAGTAGCTGGGGAGAAGGGAACTTCCAGAGACGGGCAACTGGAGACTATCCATTCTCTCCTCCTCCCCCCAGCACAGGGACCGCTAAGTCAAAAGAGGACCAGGGGCAAGCAATACAACAGGGGGAGGTGGGACATATTTTGGGGGATTTGCCCTGGATTAAAGGGGTGATCACTGCTCAGTTTCAGGTGGGAAAGCAGACCCTGTGTTGCCAGACCTCCAGATTTTTCCAGGTAAACTGGAAACCTAGATTATAGGACATTTCACCATTTTTAAAGGGTTGCTCAAAACAAAACAAAATAGAGATTTGTGAGCTCCTGGGCCGGCCAAATGGCTCGGCTGGTTAAGAGCGCAAGCTCTGAGCAACAGGGTCGCCGGTTCGATTCCCACATGGGCCAGTGAGTTGCACCCGAGCTGAGCTGCCGCTGAGCGGGTGAGAGCGCGTGCTCTTGGCAGCAAGGTTGCCGGTTCGACACCTGCATAGGATGGTGGGCTGCAGCCCCCTGCAACTAGATTGAAAGCGGCAACTGGACTTGGAGCTGAGCTGCGCCCTCCGCAACTAAGATTGAAAGACAACAACTTGACTTGGTGCTGATGGGTCCTGGAAAAACACAATGTTCCCCTTCCCCAATTCCCCAACACTGTTCCCCTCCCCAATTCCCCAATAAAAATCTTAAAAAAAACCACTGTGAGCGCCTAACAGCTAGGAACTTTTGACACTTGCTGCTAGGAAGCTCAGGGAGCAATTGTTGCAGGAACCTACAAGAGGAGATCATCTGGGTGTGATGGACGGGGCGACACAGAACATAGCATTCCTCAAGTATTCTGGCAAATACCTCGCCACACGGCTCCATCCCCTCTCCCTCCACCTGAGTCCTCTCACTGTCACACTGCCCTGTGCACAGTAGACACACCTTCGCTGGTGAATTAAATTCAAAAAAAGTTTCTTTCAATGTTTTTATATTCTGCCTATTTTTGTAACCAACCCTCTTTCTTGTTACACGGCAGAGCACAGACGAAGCATTTAAGACCTTTTGCCAATCATATCAGGCGTAAGAGGTCCCGTCAAGTGCGGGGGAAGGTTTAAGTCAGTCTTAAATTTATTTCAAAATTAAAAAAAAATGTAAGTGACGTGAGAAGGCAGCGCTTTGAATGTGCTAGTGCACATAGATAGGTCCGCTTGCAGGGGCGTGCAGGGAAACCCACAGGTGACAGGTGCAAGGCTGTGTTCAACCTTAGGCAGAGCTAGGAAAATAAAGGAGCCTCGAGTTTGAGCACCAGTGCAGCAGGTAAAACCAGAACGGGAATTTACATCCAAAGTTCTAAAAATAAATAAATAAAACAACCACCACTTTCTCCCCTACACCTGCCTCTTCCATTTCCCCAGTTTCCCCGTTCCCTCTCCGCAGGCCCCTGCAGTCTCGCAGGCTGCCCACTCCAACGGAGCGGAGATATCTTGCCCTCCCGGGTGCCCGGGAAAATTCCTTTCAGCCGCGAGAGCCGAGCTGCGAGCAGGAAACTCAAGACCCACTCCGGGTGGCTTTGCGGCCGCGGCCACCGCCACAACTGGATCCGGCGGAGTCGGAGGGAATTTGGTTCCTGGCTCTCCCTTCCCCGCTGTTGCCTGGCACAACTCAACGTTCCCGTCCAGATCGTGGCCCTTACCTGCGGCGACCCAGAGGGCCAGCAGCGCCCCGAGGCAGACGGGGACCCAAGGCTTCAGCGCCCGTGCGGCCATCTCGCCCCCCGTTGCGGGCAGGTGCCCCTCAGGAAACACAGGGTCTGGCTGGGCTGCGTGCGCGACCCCCAGAGATCCGGCCCCTAGGGTACCAAGCGCTCCTCTCAGGTCTTCGGAACGACAGAATAGCTCTACTTTCCGCAGCCCCCAGGAAGGATGCTTGGGGGTGAGTCCGATGTTGGGGTTGGGAGCTGTGCGCTGGGTTCCCGGCTCGAGTCTCTCTCCGGAGCGCCCGGCCCGGGGTAGGAGGGCGCACCCCGCCCCCTGTGCCCGCCACCCACTCCCGCTGGAGGAAAACAACAGGAGCGGGACTCCCTTCCGCCTCCCATCCAGGCGGGAGCCCAACTTCCTCTACCTTGGCCGGGGAGGAGGGCTTTATGCAAAGGGCGCGCGCCCCGAGCCGACTCTGGCCCCCGCGGGGGAGGAGCGCAGAGGCTGGGCCCTCCCCAAGCCCATTCCTCCCCGGGAGGCAGCCCGGAGTCTCGGGGACAGCTGCGCCAGGCAGCGCGCTGCAGCTGCCGCAGGACGATACCCCTGCCCCTGCCCGCCGGCGGCTCCCTCCCGAGCGCTCGGGCTGGAGCACCCGCAGGAGCGTGGCGAGCCCGAGGGGCCGGCTGCCAAGCTGCAGAACGCAGGGTCCCCTCGGCGTCCCCGCTTAGCTACTCTAGGGGCTCCCATTTGTTTTCCTGTGTTCGGGGCGGACGCCAGGGCCGCCATCGCTGCCTTTTTCTACCCTTTGCAGAACGAAGGCGAGTCTAGAGCAGGAGAAAGATGATCCCTTAGACTTCCGAGCCAAAAGAGCCACGAGACTCCTGTCCTATTCACTGGCCGAGCCCGCACTGTCAGAGTGAGGGCCCAGGCCCCCGCGGAACTTGGCTCTCGGGAGCTTTTTTGTTTTGTTTTTCCTTTTTCATTCCACCACCCCCATCCAGTCTGATTCCCAGAAAAGGACATTTCGGGGCTACCATCCCTCTCTTTTCTGACACACCCGCATCGCATCCTTCTGTCCTAGGGAACCCAGTTATGAGATCCTCAGGAAGAACTGACACTTGAAACCACGCTACTAGAAATTTCCTCTTTTAAAAAAAAATTGCAATTAATACAGTAAAACAGTAATTTTATGCTCTAGGAGGTGGAGATAAGGGTGTTTGCATTCTTTCAACTTTTCTATTTTTGAAAATGTCCCCATCATCTCATCATAAAACGTTGGGGGGGGGGGAGGGAACGACAAAAACTGCTAATAAAAGCATCTGTTCTGTTGCCCAAAGGCCCCTTATTGAAATACTTCCATCGTGAAATCCCCTAGAAACCAATAAAAAAAAAAAAGTGTGTTTCGCCTGATGGACTGAGCCATAAAGTGGCACAGTTCTTCCTTTTTCCCCTCTTGCTCAGTGATTTTATCCGTAAAGCCAGCTCCTGAGTTTTCCTGCTTTCCCTCCCCTTTAGTTTTGTTTTTCATCTTTTACTTTGCGATGGAAAAGGTCTATTCCTACATTCCCAGTACCTGGCACCTTGTTGTCACCCAATGTATATTTGATAAATAAACAAAGGAAAGCTCATTGGTTTTGACCTTGTAGCACCTCAAGCTCTTCTGACAAACGCCTCACATCATCACTGAAGTTACCAAGATACAAGTAAATTCAGTAATTGACAAGTTTCCAGCAGAGGGTCCTGAATTTTCTGTGACTCTGGTAATGCCTTGCAAGGGGGACTCCTGATATATTTGCTGAGTCAAATGCATGGTTCTTCCAACCAGTTCTCTACCCCCAGGAGGACAGACTTCCTTCAGGATGTTTTACAAGGCTGATAATAGTACCTCATATTTGCATAGCTGGGGCCTTTCTCCAAAGCCACATTAGAAACTTAATCTCACTAGGCCCTCCCTGCAACCCTTGTACCTAAGGAATCAATCTATCCCATTATTAAAGTGTGAGAAAGTGGCAATTCTAGGAAGTTAAACTCCAGATCACAAAGCCAGTTGGTGGTCAAGTCGGGACTGGAACTCGTGGCTGTCTGATTCCAAGTCCTGCCAAACACCGCTCCAACCTTGTCACTTATACAAAGGCTGCCATGGTCTGGGTGCTTCGGATGTCACCAGGACAGCAGATCTCTCTAACCCTGAGACAGGAGCTGCTAGGAATCGCCCTGCTCTAACATCTGGTTATACGTATTTCAGGCCACCCTGTCTAGAACAGTGACGAGTGAATTGGGGATTCACCGTGGGGTCCCTAGCAAGACAGGGGCCTTTCAAAGCTCTGGTTTCATTATCTGTACATAGCAAACATCCACCTCATGGGACGGTTGCGAAGGTCAAGTTGACATGTACGAAGGGACTCAACAAAGGCCTTGAAGGCATCGCTTATGGGGGGGCTATCATTTGAGATGAACCCAAACAGAGCCTGTCAGGGGTGTTACATCCCACCATCACATATTAAACATGGGGCTCAAACACCTCTGCTCAAGCTGCTACATATGGCTGCTTTTGTGTTTCGTTCACACTTCCCATCAATTGAAAAAAAAATGGCTCTGGGCTAAGTGCTTTCCATACATGAGTTCATTGAATCCTCAGCACAACCCTGAGAGGTAGGCATTATCTTTCCCAATTTACAGATGGCTCAGAGAGGCCGAGTTACATAGCGAGTACATGGGAGAGCCCCAGTTTGAACCCAGGTGTGAGGCCACGTCACCTGGGTCAATCTTGGAAGGAGGAATAGAATGGGGCTCCTGCCCGATTTCATAGCCAGCACTCCTGCAACCTGGGTCTTTGAAGCCAGCAAGCAACTTATTTTTATCCCACTACTCTCCTCTAGTCGTGTCCCCTCCCTAGAGGTAATGCTGAAAGGTTGCTTGGCAACAACACACTTCTCCTGGAGATATTCTCCTGGGGGCTTCCGAAAGGGCGGGATAGCCAGGAACCGCTGGGGGTAGCAGCCTGGCCCCTCAGGTCCAGCTCTGGACCCCTCACTTCAAGAAGCACTGAGAGGCAAATGACCCAATCCTACCTGTGCCTCCTTGGATGAGCCTGGGACCCACAGGGTGGCTGGCACCTCAAGGAACAGGGACAACAAAACCAACCTGGCTTGTCCTCTGGAGAACAAAGCCTGCTAAACCTTCTCCAAAACAGCACTTGGTCTCACCTCCCCTCTGCCTTCTGCCCAGAAGAGAAGAATTGGAATACAGATGCGATAACAAGACAGTTCCGAAAAGAAGCTGGCAGGATGAGATGGAAAAATAGAAAATGGACACATGTCAAATGAGTCTACTATTTTTGTTTGTTTGTTTGTGTGTTTTGTTTTTTTTTAGCTGAGCCATCCTGCTACCTGTTAGCAGCTCAGCAGCTGCTCAGCTCGGGCTGGACTCGAACTGCTGTTGCTCAGAGCTCAAACTCTTGAGTGAGCTCTTAACCCACTGAGCCACTCAGCCAGCCCTTGGGTTCACTATTTTTGACCAAAGCCCAGACTCTCCTTTCTGGACCCAAGAACAGGAGGGTGAAATTTGGTGTCTCTTGAGTAGTAAAGAACCGCACGCCTGGAAGGTAGATCCACCCCCCATAAAGCAAAATGCCCCTTCCAGAGGGATCAGGAAAATGACCACCCAGTTTCCTAGGAAATGGGCAGCCACAGGCTAAAGAGAGGATGGCTCACCCACCCGAACAGATGGCAGCAGCCCAGAGGTGTGCTGGTAAATGTTTAACCACAGACTCTCTGCCTCGTGGCTGTGGGGTGATTTGTAGCATTCAACATTTCCCGTGGTGTAAATACTTCTGTTATAGCCAATTTCAAGCTGTCACTGTGAGGTTACTGAACTATAGGCACAGTCAGCTCTCCCCAGCCAGTACCACTGGAATGGTCCCCACTGTCCCCCAATGAGACAACTCTAAGGCGGAAAACTTTTGATAGGATTATCCAGGAAGAGACCTGCTTGGAGCCAAACAGATAACTTAGGTAGAAAACATGCTTTTATCACTCTCCTGTTCTTTGATCTCACACTCACCTATTGAATGCATTGGTTGGCCAAGATAAATGTTATTTTTCCCAACTCCAATTGGGACATGGGGATTGACAACCGCTAAGTGTATTTAACTTATGGGGACAGAAGAATTTAGTAAACTCAGGGTAGCACTTTTCTGAAGGTGACATACTTATTTTTTAGATAGCGTTTGCTTTTTTCCCTGATTATAAACATAACATACTCGTTCTAGAGTGGAAAACAAACCAAAAAACAAACAAACAAAAGAGCCCCAGAAAAATAGAAAATAAAGTGTAACCATAACCCATCTAGAAATAATCACTAGAATATTATCTATAATTAGATTATTATCTATATAATCACTAGTTATCTCTAGAAACTTCGAGTCCTTTCTGCTGAGCTCCAATGTGTGTGGTTTGGTTTTTTTACAAAGCTGTAATGACATTTCCACAAAGTTTTGATTCCTGCTTTTTCCCTTAACTCTATATTCGAAGTATATATTGTGATTTTTTTGACAAGTAGTTAGTCTTTTTAACTGGAAAAGTAATACAATACGAATGGTTAAAAAAAAAAAGATCCAAATGAACGTTGCAGACATTATTCTAAGTAAAATAAGCTCGTCACCAAAGGACCAATACTGTGTGATTCAAGGTATTGGAGGTACCTAGTGCAGTCAAATTCCTAAAGGCAGAAAGTAGACGGGTGGCTGCCAGGGACTGGGTGGGGAGAGAAATAGAAATTGTTGTTTACAGTGTATGTTGTTTCAGTTTTGCCAGATGAAAAGCGCTCTGGAGATGGATGGTGGTGAGGGGTGCACAACGTGAATGTACTTCATGCCACTGAACTGTCCACTTAAAAGGTGACGATAGTAAATGTTATGTTATGTGTATTTTCCCACGATTAAAATCTTTTTGAATGTAGAAGAAAATGGGAAAAGAGGAGAACAATGAGGGAGCACATGATACATATGGGACAGAGGACTTTGGTTGGTGCTTATGAATAAAAAAGGAAATCAAACAAACAAAAGAAAAACCCAAGCAATTTTATCATGAAATTATATCTTGAAAGTAAGCCTTCTGCCCACCTCCTCCCAAGCCCTGGTCCTATTCCTCAGGGATAGCCAGTCTCACCAACTTCTGCAGACAACAGTTTTTGCTGGTTACCTAATATGCACCTGTTGGAATATCATACAGCCAGTAACACTTGTGTTTTTCTCAAAGTTTATGTAACGATAGAGGATCCGTCTATTGTGACCACCCAGATGTGTGAAGTTCAGTGGGAGTTTTTTCCACCAGCCTTATTGAGGTATAGTCCACATACTATAAATTCTCCCACTTGAAGTGTACAATCCAATGGATTTTAGTATAGTCACCATCACCACAATCTAGATTTTTGTCACCCCAAAAAGAAAC